CTGCTCCCATGGACAGATGCCTGATAGGGCCAAAATTATGGTCCCAGACTTGACACTTTTAGCACCAGTCCTAGAAATTTCCCCCAGTCTGCACCTAGGAGAGGACTCCTAGTGAATACTCCTTGTGAATGGAGTCCAGAGCTGGGAGCCCTACCTCAGCTGCAGCCAACCACAGACATCTGCTCAACTCCCACTGCCATCACAGAGAGAAATTCTAAGAGGGCTGTGAGTCTGTTCTGTTTGTCGATTAGTTTGCTTGATGAACTAACTTTCTAAACCTTTTCTGAGTTACAAAGAGGGGAAGTTACAGGAAGTGATATTTGACTCAATGTAAAGCAGAACACTTGCTCACTCAGCGCCATCCAAGGATGAAAGAAGGAGCACTGGGAGGTATCCAACCAGGGGCTGTAGAATGGAGTGAAGAGTGTGTAGTGGGTGTGTGATGTGTGAGTGTGTGTGAGCATGTGAGTGTGTGAAAGGAGATGAGAGAGAGAGAAAGGGAGAGAGCGGAGGCAGGGGGATAGCTGGGCAAAGGCTGAGTGAACTTCAGTGCCTTCTTAGTGACATGGAAGAAACTCCAGCCAAGCATGCTAGTGCAATCTGCAATCTCAGCACTCAGGAGGCTGAGGGAGGAGGATCACAAGTTGCAAGGCAGCCTGGGATACATAGTGAGACTTTGTCCAAAAAAGAAGGAGGAGGATGGGGTGGAAGGATTGGGAGGAGGAGGAGGAGGAGGAGGAGAGTAGTCAGGAGGCCTGAGTGACATGCTCTCTCAACCACTAGGTAACTCTGGGGAATTCATTTCCTGTCTTGAACTAAACCCATCTGTAAATAGGTTGAACTTATTCTTAAGGTTCCTTTCAACCATAGTAGCCCACAGATATCATTTGCTATTTGCTTTTTGGTCCCCACTCACTTTGCAAAGTTCTTTTCTCAGAGTAGAGCCCGCTTTCTGTGAGGAGCCATCCAGGCCAACTTTGATATGCCTGGCAAAAGCATTTAGCACAGATGAGAGTCCCCTCACCAAGCGCCCACAGAGAGCACACTTGTCCTGTATCTACCATTTATTGTTGATTCTGTACACCAAATTTGTTACAAGCAGCATCCAGCAAAATGCAGACCCCCAACCCTGCCCACCAGGGCTCACACTCTGTAACACCCCAGGGACTTAGAAATCTCTAAATGCACTGCCAAGCACCTGGAAGTATTTGCGGTGACTTCTAAGCAAGGCAAACATGATCTGCTTTCAAGGCAACCTGAAGGCATTGGATGGTGAGAACAATCTCTCCTGAGGAGGAGGATCCTGGGACTGGGAGGATTTTCACCGGGAAGCAGCCTGCCATCCACCCACTCTGAACCACAACCATGGGGGCTTCTTTCCCAGGATCACCACCACCTCCCCAACAACCATCTTTGGTTCTGACTGACCACTAAAGGCAGTGATTATCACTAAAGGCTAGAATACATCCAACATCTGTTTACCGATTCTAGTTACGGAGTTAGCTCTACCTGTCTGTTATATATTTCCTGAGGTTGGGAGTCAATTCTGACATCTTGAGGAGTTATGGGAATTGTGTGACTGCCCAAGAAAAGTTCTAAGAACTTGGTTGTACCTTTGCATTCTAGAGAGGAAGAACAGATACACACAGCCCAAAAATTCCCATGACAGGAGCTATTTTTTTAACTTCATGGGTTGGCAAGTGTAATCTTTCCCTGTATTTACAATGTGTTTGATCCATAAGGTACCAAGTGAGATTCCACTGACTAAGGCTATAAGGGGCACCAGGAAGGTGACACCCATTTTCTTTGATCTCATGGTGAAGGCCCAAGACAGGCCATGAGGTCTTGTACAGAGTTGAGGGGAGAAGTAGACCCACCACCAGTTGAGTAATGTGTAGAACAAGCAGTCGTCTGTCCTATCGATATGGGATAATGGTGGTAACTCATTTCACTAGGTGTCCTGAGGGTTGAAAGTAGAACATGTGTCAAGAGTTTTGAAGGACATCCTTATAATGTGAGGACTTCTTAGAACAGTGGGAAGTTTTTGTTTTGGTGGGACTTGGGTTTGAACTCAGGGCCTCACACTTGCAAAGCAAAGACACTCTACCACCAGCCATACCTCCAGTCCATTTTGCACTGGTTATTTTAGAGATGAGTGTCTCACAAACTGTTTTCCCAAGCTGGCCTCAAACCATGATCCTCCCAATTTCAGCCTCCCAATTAGCTAGGATTATAGGCATGAGCCACTGGAGTCTGGCAAAATGGTGGTCCTAATGGGCTTTTATTAAATTTCCTCCAATATTGACTCCCTCTCCCACTCCATATGAAGGTGACTGGTGACTGGCAAAAAGTGGTCCAGAAAGCAGTGAACGTGGGCTAAGTGAACTAAATTCTGCACCCTACTTCAACTTTTTGGGTCCCACACAGCTCATTCCAACCCCAAGAATTGAGCAAGTATATCACTGTATTGGAGAGGATACTTCATCCAGCATTTCTGACAATTACCTGGCCAGACAACATGGTTGAGAGAGGCTGAAAGGCCTGCCAAAGACAAGCAGGCCCCGTGTTGTCATCCCACCTCTCTGGTGAGAGAAAAGACCAGGTGAACTCAGAATTTTCATAGAAATGATCTACCATCCTCCACTAGGGTGTTCCTAGGCAGGTCCTCTGAAGACAGCTGCCTTCAGGTGAGCTTTTAAGCCAGAGAGAAAGATACTCCAAAGTCATGGCCAGTGTCAGAAATATCCAGGGATTCTGGCTTCAGATTGGCAGGGGACACTGGAGGCTGAGGATTTCTACCTCTCTCCATCCCTGGCACACTCATGCCTGTGCACATGAGATGCTGGATCCAACTCACAAGGAGCACCTGATGGTTCTGGATCTGAGGAATGTGATGCTGAACAATGCTTCCATCTGGAAGCACGTGGGTCCAGTTCCCCCTCCCCGCCCCAGAGCCCACACAGCAGGCTGCAGCAGAAAGATGCTGTGCCCCGAGTTGGGGCTCACTTCCTTTGGGGGCCTGGCAAGTCTTGATATCAGTTGCTACAGATATTTTGAAAACATCATGGAGATATCGATTTACCCTGGGAAGATGACATCTTTTGAGTGACTTCAGATTCCCTATAACAGAGGGTAAAAAGCTACAAAGTGCCCTAGTTTTTACAAACATTCCTTCCTGGACCTTTCTGCCAGGGAACTGGAGGGGAAACATGGTCACCCTGTGATCATCATGCTGCTAAGGCCCTGAGGGGGTTCTTTATTTGTCTCATGGGGCAGAATGCACTGTAAGCATAGATCAGGATTGGTGGCGGGTTTCCAGATCCTTGTGGTCAGCTGAAGTTCTTTCCCAGGCAGACACAGAAACCTGAAGTTCTTCATTTCAGTTTTTACTTTTGAAGTGGTGGACCAGTTGTCCAGAAAAGACAAGTATTGCCTTGTTTTAAGGTGTGTGAGCATGAATGTAGCAGGAAGAGCAGCAAAGACAGATACTCATTACTGTAACTCAAGGAGGAGAAAACCCTGAATCAAACCACTCAACTCATAACCAAGCCACAGGCAGGGGGCGCTCCAGAGAGCTCCCCCACCTAGCGTGACCTGACAGTGTGCCAATGTCTGCTGTCTGAAAACCCTGAAGTCTAGCTGCTAGCTGACTAATGTTGATGGAGAATTTTACCACGACATTAGAGGGATTCCTGGTTTCCATTACACTTGGATGTTCAATTAAAGATCTCATCTCTGAACTATTTTTCTTCCCTCAAGAGAGTAAAAATTCAAAACAGATACAGGCATATCATGCCCATAAAAGGTTCCAGGAGAGGGGCCTCCAATGAGCAGGAGTCGGCCTCTTGGCAAAGAAGGAGTGTTGGTTGCATGGGCCACTGTAGTCAGAACACTTCTGACCTGCCCCACCTGGGTGTCTCAGGGTCTTCAGATTTAATAAAACTCCCTGTCCATACACACATCTCTTCCACCCCTGGCAACTGGTCCTTTATAAGGGGGACAGTAACAGATACAGCATGGTTCGTGGGAATCCAAGTCCCCGGTAAGTCCATGCCACCTCCAGAAGTCTTCTTGAAAAAGCTTGGGGTGGGGACACTGACGGCGTTGTTTCTTGATCTGATGCTGACTACATAGGTGTGCTGAGTTTGTGACAATTCACCAGCTGTACACTATCACGCTCTCATGTTTCTATTTGTATATGATACTTCAATAAAAAAATCAAAAAAGGAATACTGTAGGGATGAATGCAAGGACTCCAGGTACCCCCGGTTTTTTCTCCGTCCAGTACCAATGAGCTGATTTTAATGTTTTTAGAAGTCAAAAATTCTACATGATTTTATTCCATAAAAGGGTTAAATATGTCAAAGCAAAGTCTGCAGTTTGGAAATGGCATTCTCTAAAAGGCTGAACTTGTTGCACTGGTACCTTTCTTCCTTCTCCAGATAAAAATCCCAAGAGGAACTGATGATGACTCTGTCCAAGAATGGAGCAGGATGGATTTCCTTCTCTCTTGCAGGGTATCCTCCAAGCCCAGCAGCTCACAAGCAACCAGCCAACTGATTTGAAGTCTTCTTTGAGGTGAGAACTCACTCTGCCTTCAGGAGCAGAATATCAAGGGGAGAACTTTCATTTGCAGGGACAGGGTCAAGCCATAGCACAAATAAGAGAAGCAGAAGAAGGAACATCAGCTTGCATAGTATTTTGAGGAGGGGGCTGTCCTGGTGGAGAACTATCCCACAAAGTGAGCAGACCTGTTATTGAGTCTACAGAGGTGAGGAGAGAGCCAGGTGCAGGGGAGGTTGTTTTTGGAGGGGAGATGGTGAGGATTTGGGGGAGGGCCCCTCTGAAGGAGGCCCAGGAATGGGACCTGGGAATCCCTCAGGTTTTTCTATGCCCGTTTGGATCTCCTTGGTGGTAAGAAAGGCTTTGCAAGACCTGTTTCTCTACAGAAGAATGAGGCAGGTCAGGATGAGGAAGCCCAGAGCCTGGCTTTGTGGTCCCAGGGATGGAGTCTGAAAGTCCACATTCCCAGGCCCTCCAGTCTCACCCTTCCCAAGCCCTGCTCCAGCCTGCCTCCCTAACACTCATTGGGAGCCTTCATCTGCATCAAGACCGCCTGGCTTCTTTTCTTGCAGCAGCAGCAGCAGATGCAGGCAGCTAGCGAGCAGGCCAAGGCAATGACGCCAATGACAATGGCAGCAATGGCCAGCCCGCTCTGGGCCCGGGTCATGCCCCATGTGTTGCGGTCATCGGTGGCCTCGATGGTGGTCAGATCAGTGATGTCTTCCACAGAGCTAGTGATCTCAGTGGTAGAGGAGATAGATGTGGTGTCAGAGTAGCTGGGGGTGTCAGGGTAGCTGGAGGTGTCTGGGTACCATGGTGTCTCTGGATAGCTGGGCACTTCAGGGATTGCCGGGGCCTGGACGCTGGGCATGGGGGCATTGACATTGATGATGATGATGGACTGCCCTCGGACATTGGCTGGGCTGGAACACACCGGGAGAGTGTCAGTACCTAACCTGGCCTTGTTGAGCAGGAGCCAGCCGCGGAGTGGAAGGATGTCTGAGTCACATCTCCAGGGGTTGTCATAAAGTCGCAGCTCACACAGATTCCCCAAGTGATCGAAGATGCCCACGGGCAGGTTCTCCAGCTGGTTGTTCTGCAGCTGAATAGTCATGAGGCCATTGACATTGGCAAAAATGTTTCCAGGGAGCTGTCTGAGACGATTGTTCTGTAGGGAGATGTTCTGCAGGTTGGCCAGCATACGGAAGACATTCCCATCCAGGTCCTGCAGCTCATTGGTGTGGAGAGACAGCTCTCGAAGCTCTGACAGCCCATTGAAGGCGCCTGGCGAAATAAAGGTGATTTGGTTTCGACTTAAGATCAGGACCTGCAACTGGTGGAGGTTGCTGAAGATGTTGTCAGGCAGAGCAGTGATGTGGTTGTCATAGAGCCAAAGCTCCCGCAGGTTGTGCATAGGCCCAAAGATGCCAGGGGAGAGCTCCTTCAAGGAATTCCCGAAGAGTGTGAGCCGGTTGAGCTGGGGCAGCTGCATAAAGATGCCGGGGGGCAGCTGCGAGATGTGGTTATTGGACAGATAGAGTCTCTGCAGGTTGCGGTTGTTGTGGAAGAGGCCAGGGGAGAGCACACCGATCTGGTTCTGCTGGAGGGCCAGCTCCTGGAGGTTGCCCAACCCATCGAAAGTGCCCATGGGGATGTCCGAGAGCCTGTTCTCATATAGCCGGAGAACCTGGAGGTTGCCCAGGTGTTGGAAGACCCTGGGTGACAGGTGAGTGAGGCTGTTCTTGCCCAGATTGAGCTTGGTGAGTCCCACCAGGTGGTCGAAGGCACCGTCAGGGACGTATTCCAGATGGTTGCCATGCAGCTGCAGCTCCTTGAGGTTGCTGCACTGGGAAAAGTGGGCTGGCTGGATCTGCACCAGCTGGTTACTGGACAGAAGGAGGGACTCAAGGTTATCCAGACCCTGGAAGAGGCCAATAGGCAGAACCTGCAGCTTGTTATTGGCCAGACTGAGGTAACGGAGTGAACCCAGGTTGCGGAAGGCACCAGGCACGATGTGCGACAGCTCATTCTTCTCGATCCTCAGGGCAATAAGAGCTGAGATGTTGAGGAACGGTGACTCATTGAGTTCAGTGATGTGTGTGTTGAGGATCTGCAGGCTCATGGCATTCCAGGGCAGAGGGGTGGGCACCACCACGATGCGTGCCCCTGTGCACTCCACCTGGGAGGCTCGGGAGCAGGTACACTCGCTAGGGCAGCCATAGTAGGCCAAGCCTGCAGCCCAGGCCTGGCAGCCCACCAGCAAAAGGAGATAATGTTTCAGTGGCATGGCCTGTGCAGGGAAAGAGATCACATGTTGAGTCAGGGGCACCTCGATGACACTGTGGCAAGTCTTAAGCCTACATCCACCTTCAGTTTCAACAGTGGCTTGGTCGTGAGTCCCATACTTGGGTTCCCAATTCAGTACATCCTCTGTTCTAGCCAGCAAGCCTCTTCACCTCCCCCCATGACTTCCACACCTGATCCCAAGCAATCCCCCCACCTGGAGGGCTCCTGTCCTCACCCAAATGTTCTGTACAGTTCTTGATCAAGCTCAAGAGTAAGCATCATAGGAAGTTTTCCCAAATTCTACCAGTTGGTATTTGTTACCTTCCCATGTAGGTGGTCATACCAACCTCCTCTGTTGGCACAGCCAGCCTTGAGCGGCATTCATTATGCTCCCGTCTCTCCCTTTCCCTAACTAATAAGCTTTTTCAGGAAAAGGAGCCCCTCTTACAATCCTACAGGATCCCTAGGGCAGGAGCTGTGTCTTACCCATCTCTGTAGCCCACACAGCACATGAAAAGGCTGGCTGAACACAGCTTTACTGGGAGAAACAGAGAGGAGATAAGAACAAGATTCTCAGGCCACAGCACCCTGCCTGCCAGGAGGGGCAGCAGCAGCCTGCAGAGTGAGGCCCACACTGCTTATGCATGCAAAGACTACAGGGAAGCCCAGCTCTTCTACCCCCTCAGCCTTGCCCTACCTTGCCCAGCCCATCACCACCTTTTGTTAGCCCTTCCTCCTACTTCAACTAGGGTTAACTCAAACCACCTTCCGTATGAAAGGCTATTGTCTTCACCCTGAGCTGGCTGGCTGGGAGAGGCTGCTGGGGCTCAGCAGATGCCTGGGGCCTGGCTTCTGGGTGTGAGTCCCAGTTTCCATGAAGAAACACTGGGTGGCCTGGAGTGAGTTCCAGAAAAACTTAGACACACTTTGCGCTGAAGGGGATAGGTGGATTCAGCTGACCCTCAAGTGTGGGGCTGATCTGGGAATGGAGCCAGATTCATGAAGGGTTTGGTGTTTGAAATTGCCCATGATGCTGATGATGAGGACGTGTATGTGTGTGTCCCCAGAATATAAAGACATGGATGTGGTCCCTAACTGTTTGACCTTGAATAAAGCTTGAGGCCTTGAAGATACAGTGTCATCATCTGCTAAGCAGGGATGATCTCCATCTCCTCTTGGGGCTATTGTGAGGAGCAAATGGGAGAACAAACACAAGGGTTTCCTGCACAGGGTGGTCCCAGTGTACAGTTGTTCCAACCTTATCCACAAGCTCCACCTACGGATTTCTGAAGACAGGACAGCCTCAAATTCTAGCATTCCTAGTCAAGGGATGGCATTTCTGTGTACGGGTGAGAGTGCCGGTGACTTCTACCCACTCTTCAAAGGGGCCTATGACTTCTGAAGGGCTAACTAAGGAGTTGCTGCCTCTTAGCATTTTATGGGGAGGCAGGAAGCAGGGAAACTGAGGCTCAGATCTTAAAGCCCAGGTCCCTAGACTCATAGGTGAGGACTGAGTATCAATACAGTGTCCCTCCTTTTAATGAACAAAATTCTGAGTCAGAGGAAGGACTGTCAAATGATGGCATACAAGGCAAGCTGGCTGAGTGGGAAGGCACTTTTACAGCTTCCCTTTGTGCCTATGAATTCATGGGATCCTGAGCCTGGCCCATAGTCGAAAGCAATTCAGCTTCTCTCTGGCCTTAGCCCCACACACCACTCCCTTGCTCCCCTCCCCCAAAAAGGCTTGATCTCAGGGGAAAACCCAGGCTCATCCTCCACCCACACAGACCTTAACTTTTCACTTATTCACAGCTGGTCCAAGCCCTAACCTGCTGTGCTTTCATTAAGGACTTGGCTAGTATTTAGAACACTGAGTAAAAGAGAGGAAAAATAACTCCTTGGCCAATGGCGTTTAGAGGCAAAGGAATGGGGCCTTACTATGCTGTGGACCACATCTAAAAAAGTGAACTTGTATAGACAAATGGCAGGTCCAGAAACTGAGAGCAAAAAACTGTTTATACAGAGGGCACAGAAAATAAATGGCTTAACATCCAAGACTTAGGGCCTCTGATTACTGGTAGCAAAGAAATGAGGCTATCCAAAAACACAAATAAGACCTGAGACTGCATTAATAAAAGTGTCAAGCATGGAGCGAAGGTGTGATGGTCTGACTTTATGCTACCCTGAACAGGGCACATCTGTAGTGCAATATTCAGTTCCACTCTGAACTTCAAGAAGGTCAATGACAAACTGGCCTCTTGAAGAACTTCTAGAGGATGGTGAAACTCAGAAACCAGAACATCTAAGCATGCATTGAAAGGGTAGCAGATGAATAGCTAAAAGGAGAGGAGATGGGAGTCCACCAGCAGTTTCCTACTCTACAGGAAGGATTCACCTGGGATAAACAAAACACCCCAACTTGGTATGGCTCCCAAGGCCGAAATTAGTGTGCAGAGGTCATGGGGTCACAGATCTCAGTTCATCACCAGTAAGAACTTGTCCACACTCAAAACGGACAACCTCATGGAGGTAGTGAGCTCCCTATCACTGCAAGTGTTCAAGCAGAGCTGAGCTACCACTCAATAAGGAAGCTGGAGAGAAGGCTCCTATACCCAGGAGGTGATCAGATTAGAGGACAGCAGTTGCCCCAATCAGCCCTAAGATTCCAGGATTCCAAGGCTGAGTCCCAGAGTGTGGGCATGAGATCCATCTCCAAGGACAATTGGGTCTGTGCTCCTCTGGGGGGCTGTGCAGATCCATCGCCTTGATAGATGTGTGTGGGGAGGTTCACCCTTGGGCCGGCTTGCAAAAGGTGAGGTTCAAATGGCTCCTTGGTGATATTTAAGCTCACTCTTCTTTCTTTTAATGTATACGCCTATGTCCAACGTACTCCAAAGCTGATGTCACAACCCAAGTATTAAGGAGAGAAAAGGTGCCCATCACCTGGGCACCCACTGTATAACGAGAGAGAGGTGAAGACCCCTCTGAGGACACATCTCTGGATGGCCTCCTCTGAGTCTCCACTCCTCAGCTAGGAAGTGGCATTAGGCTAGTTCTGGGAAGGGCCCTGAGCTAGGTGAGTGTGCCTAATGGCCTAGGAGGAGGAATGGAGAGATAATTCCCTGTGGGAACCGGGCCACTGTTGTCTAAAACGGACCACACTCAGCGCGACAAATATTGCAAGAATCTGCACTGTCTTCTTACAAACCCTCCCGTCTGCAGAGCCCACCCTGCAGACACACACAGCTGCTTCCTGTTTTCCAGCACTGTGAGTGTGGCAGCTGGCGCTGACTGCTGCAAACCATCTGCAAAGAACCCACCACTGCCAGGTGCAGGTCCTGCAGGGAGGGAGGACCCCACGCAGGCCTCGGTCTGGGCCTTGGACTTCTAGCCGGTGCTGTGGATATGTGTGTGGCAGCCCTCGACCTTTTGGAGCTGGCACACAGTAGCCTAATAGCCCACGCTGTCGAGTGCCGCTTGGCAGCTGTGACAATGGCAGTTAAAGGCCCAGGAAGCTTCTCTAATTACACCTTTCTCCACAGGCAGCTGAACGAGTGCGTCCTCAGTCACTGCGGGGACTCATTCCAGCCCCGTTCTAGCCCCTGGGGGGGACACTTGGCGTCAGTCAAGGCCCATGAAGTCAGTGAGCTGGGCAGCCAGACAGAAGGACAGCCAGACAGCTCACCTGGATATGAACGCGGCCCCTCCCTGGGAGTAGAAGCGATTGAACCAGGGCGCTGCCTGTGGGTCTCTGAGCAGAAACGCCCTGTGACTCATGAGCGAACCCATAATTAGCCTTGAAGCTCGGGGCTTGGTTGGTTGGTGAGTTGGGACATTTTTGGTTTAATACCATCATTCACATTCCCTAAACACAACGTTCCCTGGAAGGAGACTGCTTCTTATTTCAACCTCACAAAGTAAGACTTTTGGAAAGAGCCTGGGAGACCCATATTCTTCTCTGGTCTTGACACTAAGATACAACCAGAGTTTAGGGACATACTTCAGGCCTCAGTTTCCCTTTCTGTAGAGACTTTCAAGGCCCTTGCAACTCTAATCTCTTCTGACTAGAGGCAAGAAGGAGGCTGTACTGAAGGCTCACCTTTCTCCTCACCCTCTCTTCCCCACAGGCCTCACCGAACCATCTGCAGTGCCACCTGGGCCACCTGTATGCAGAGGCTTGATGATCCCAAGCCCATCTTTTCAGGCCTGCCTTGTTTCAAAGGTCTCCAGGCCAGGCAACCCACTGCTTAATCACCACCTTTTCACATACCCAACAGCCATTTTGTGAGAACTAGGATCTGAGAGGGGCCATAGGGAACCTTGTGTCCTGCCTCCTCCCAGTGCACCTGGAAAAACTGAGGCCCCCAAAGACCATTTTCTCCCCTGTCCTTTGCTCTCTCTCTGCAGCTAGATTGCTAATCATGGCCTCCTCTGCTAGTGAGATGGGCCCCAACCAGCCCAAGGGCTTCTGAGGGAGATGCCAGGCTTGCGGTTGTTCTCCCCTCCCACAGCCAGTGTCATCCTCAATCAGGATGCTCTTTGGTGCTTAGTGCAATGGGTCTGAGGTTACAGAGATACTCAGCCTCGAGTTCAAGCCCCAGGGATCCAGATCCTCCAAGTGCCCCTGCCCAGAGTAAAACACACAAATAGCCTAGGGAGCTTTTTGACTGGAACTGACTTCACAGCTTTGCTGCCAGGAACAGTAAATGAGTTAATACGTGCTCAACATTTAGACTAGTTCTTGGCACAAAGTGAATACCCAATAAAGGTGGTGATTACTGCTGTGTTGTTGAGTAAAATGGGATCTCTGGAGGCTCCACCCACAGAGATCCGAATACCTAGGTCTGAGAGGGGCCCAGAATGCTGCACAATTAACAGCATCTCCCCCGCCTGACCCCCATGTGATGAGAACTCACAGCCTGTATCATATACCACCAAGAACAGAAAGGTAATGGGATGGGGGAGGCCAAAAGTCACACTCTAGGCCTGTCCTAGTTCCCTGGG